CCTTTAATCATCGTCATAGCCCTCTGCTGGACTCTCTCCAGTGGTCCCCTGTCTCCCTTGAACTGGGGAGCCCAGAACTGGACACAGTACTCCAGATGTGTCCTCACCAGCACAGAGTAGAGGGGAAAGAGCACCTCCCTCAACCTGCTGGTCACACTCTTCTTAATGTACCCTGGGATACCACTGGCCTTCTTGGCCACAAAAGCACATTGTTGTCTCATGGTTAACTTATCCACCAAGACTTCAAGGTCCTCTGTGGAGCTGCTTTCCAGTAGGTCAACCCCTAACCTGTACTGGTGTGTGAGGTTATTGCTCCCCAGGTGCAGGTCTTCACACTTGTCCATGGTGAATTTCAGTAGGTTCCCCCTCGCCCAACTGTCCAGTCTGTCCAGGTCTTGCTAAATGGCAGCACAGCCTTCCACTATATCAGACACTTCTGCAAGTTTCATATGATCAGCAAACTTGCTGTGGGTACACTCCCTCCCTTTATCCAGATCATTGGTGAATATGTTGAAGAAGACTGAACCCAGAACTGATCCCTGGGAACACTGTTAGCAACAGGCCTCCAAGTGGACTCTGCACCGCTGATCACAACCCTCTGAACTCTATTGTTTCACCAGTTCTCAATCCATCTCACAGTCCACTTATCTAACTCATACTTCCTGAGCTTACCTATGAGGTTATTATGGGAGATAGCATCAAAAAATCTTACTGAAGTCAAGGCAGACAACATCCACTACTCTCCCTTCATCTACTCAGCTAGTCACAGCATCACAGAAGGCTATCAAATTAGTTAACCATGATTTCACCTTGCTGAATCTATGCTAACTATTCCTGAGAACTTTCTTTTCTCCCATGTGTTTGGAGATGACCTCCAGAATGAGCTGTCCCATCCTCTTTCCATGGATGGAGGTGAGGCTGATTGGTCTGCAATTTCACAAGTCTTCCATGTTGCCCTTTTTGAAGACTAGAGTGACACTGGTTTCCCTCCAGTCCTCAGGCACATCTCCCAAAAGTCATGGCCTAAAGTCATCATCTCATTTTCTCCTTGCTGCCTCATACAAAGTGAAAGCAGAGGAGAAAGAAGGCATGCAGCTTCTGATTTCATTGACAGTAACCTCCAGCACCTGGCTCATGAAGAAGAATGTCTGGCAACACGCTTTGTGCATGCACGTAGAGCAAGCAGACAGACACACTATGGCCATCCTGGGAGAACAAAAGTAATACTAGGTTTCTGAGTAATGGTGTGTTAGGCAACCAAGAAGAGCAATAAACAATACTGTGGTCTTATAGGAAGAGATTTTCTGGGAAGAACAGGAAGAGACGCTTTAGAAGAGGAACGGGTTAATCTAACGTAGGTTAGATTAAAAGTATAGGGAGAAGAAAAAACTCCAAACATCTGAACTCTTTTAATTCCCTCATCCACACAATTCTGCTCCTGGAGTTTCTCTTGATTCTTTCCTGATCTGGTCCTCTAAAAAGCAGTCAAAGAGCTCTGCAAAAGCCTCTTCCCTTCATCTTGTTGCACATGCATGTTTCTATCCATAGTCTTCTTTCTAGTAATTTTTCAATGCTGTTACACACTCACTAGCTAGAACTGATTTTGAGTGACAGCAACCAGATGGGACATGATTAGGCTCCCAGAAACATAAAAAAAAAAAAAGCTAAAACTGATTTTTAAAAAAAGATACTTTTTTATTTAAGGGAGTTAAATCAGGAGTGCCTTGCTGAACAGATATTAACTGACCAGTTACAGTCTCAGCAAGCCACAATGTTAAAGAAAGTTTCAAGATAATTTAAGTAAATTCGAGGACTTCAAGGAATTTATGAGTTGGCCTGTGAAACAGAGCGCTGCTCAGGGAATTATACCAGAGCTAGTGTTCCTTTATACCATGCTAAACTTTTAATCAGAGCCAATACATGAAATATTGGTATTTATAAATACTTCTCCAGAAACTTACCTATCTGATATTCAAACACTGCTACCAGGTAATGCAGACTCAAGACAGTGTTGTGTGTGTTTAGAAAATCCTAAGTTGTCCCAAAGTCTGAAGGTTATCTTTTTATCCTCTGCCTCATTTAGTCTAACATTCAAAATGTAGGCTCTTGTCTGTTCAGATGGACACTTTAATTAAAATGCTGAGCAGTACTGTACATCATCTCCTACCTACTGGAACTTGTCCTCCTGCTTTAATGATACCCTTATCTTATTCTTCCATTCAGATTAAAACACAGTGTGTTAGAGTGGGATAGAGTTTTAGGAAAACAAGGCCTCCATTTAGCATCATGTACTGTACACAATTCTGATCATGCAGTAAGATGCTGTTTTACTGTATATCAGAGTGATGACCTCCTTATCTATGAATGGTGTTTGACACTTTGCTAAAAGGCCATCAAGGAAAAAGAATTATGGACTTTACATTGTCTCTTCCCCTGTAACTAATTGACCTCTGAAACAATGTTTTTCATAAAGAAAAATATAGCAGAAAAAGCTGAAGTTCAATGCAAGAAAAAAAAAAAAAAAAAACAACAGTGGGAGACTTTATCTTTAGCGGCTGAAGAGATTATCTCTCTCTAGGATGAAGGAGGCTTTTTGGCTAATACACCAGAGAGAAAACTGCAGCAGCTGCCACCACGTGCGCTTGTGCTGCAGGGTGGAGAGGCAGAGGTGAGGAAGAAAGCTGGGATAGGAACATTTAAAGTACTGCAACTACAGTGGCAGAGCTTTTGAGTCACAGCCTAGCAGCAGAACAAGAGGAGGAGTGGGAGAAGTCCCCTGAGAACTGTGCATCTTTACTGCACAGAAAGAGCAAACCAGACTGAAGAAGGCTACATTTTAATACCCTTGCTATTTCAGAGCTCAGTAGCTTTCCAGTGTCTTTTACGAGTAAATTTATTAGAATGAAAAACTCCTTTACAAAAATCATTCAACTTCCTAGAATACTGTCTATGAAGGACTTAAAGCTGAAGGAAGTGCAATTAATCAACTGGACAGTCTGAGCAAAGTGGGGTAGACAAGACTCGGGAGGTCCCGGGAGTGAATTTCAAGGCTTTGGATTACAGAGCTCCGCAAGGGGAGGACTAAGCTAAAAAGTCTTCTGCTAAATACTTGGAACAGACTGGGGGCACTATTAGCAATTACAAGGAACTGATTCAGAAGCCAAAAGTAAAACAGGAGTTCAAAACTTGACGCAGATACAGTATCGAGCAGCTCAGTCCTGAGAAGACCTTTGCAAACATGGCAAGTAATCCCTCGATGTTCCTTGAAAGAGTTATATCAAGTACCCACACTGGAACAGTTTATTAATGCTCTACATCTACACGACATTACAATATAGCTGATACAAAGCCAATAGATCCCTGTCCTGCAGACCAAGTGGCTGATGCATAGACAGAAGATCTACCTCTCACTGTAAGGGAAAGCAATTCTCATCCAGAGGAGTGATACTATAAGCAGACAGTACCAAGAAATTGTGTAAAGCCAGAATTGGGAAAGCAGCAGCTCAGAAGTAATATCACAGCAGATTCTAGAAGCACGTGATAATCTGTTGGGTCACAGGGCTCACGAGAGAAACGCTTTGAGACTAACAAAGAGGATTCTGCCAAAGTGCCATCGGCAGGTAATGTAACGCTGATTTAGACAAGTGGAAGTCAGGACACAGAAAACATAAGGAAAATACATAATAAAGCAATTTCACATCCAGAGCAGATGCCCACAAACCACTTTGTATCCCTGAAGTTATGCAGAAAAATAATTCAGGAGTGGAAGAGGCAAATGCTTGGGTGACTTCAGGTTGAACAAGTATAGTGGAACAGCTAATTAACAACCCAGTAAACAGAAAGCATGAGGAAGTTAGTGAGGAAATCATCTGCATCAGGATCCCTAGTGTCTCAAGATCACGCACATTAGCACCTACGTTGAGACTGTTTATGCCCTCTCACAGTTTCAACTCCATCTGGAGCCCCAAGCTGGCAGTCTATGGCTCACTGATCCTCAGGGCCTCTCTGGGAACAGGCACCCAGGGCCAGGGCTCAGCCTTTGTGCAGACAAAAGCAGGAGCTGGAAACCTGCAGCATGAATTAACATGCATTCTCTGTACCAGCACCTGACAGCTCAAGCAGAGCTGCAGACTTGGTCCTTCCATTAGCTCCCCCTTGAATCAAATTTAAAATTTTCTGTTCTCATGCTTAAAACTCTACATAATTAATTTCCCCTTCCCCCATGCTCCCTCCCCTGACAGCACTGAATCAATTCTCTTGAGAAAGTGTTTTGTGTGCTCTGAGTCATCCCAGCCTCAGTGTGCATGTACTGATCGATACGCTCACCTTTTCCCTTCAGCAATCTTGTGCTTTCTTGTAGCATTATCCCCTTTGTCTGATCCTGATCACTCACTCACTACATTTAAGCTTTCTTAAAAGCTCATAATCGTTTTTACAGGCAATAGAAGGAAATTATCTGCACAGAAGGAAATTATCTGTAGCATTTTTACAGTATCTGTATTAAGTGAAATAATATCATTACTATTAAAAAAAGAAGCAACACCTTGCTATTGCCTTTCTCTTTCTCCCTGTTGCACAACTTGTTTGTTCAGTTACAGCTATAGCTAAATGGTAGGCTTTAGGGTAGTTTTAGGGTTTGATGGAGCACTTGGCAGACTTTTGGATGATAAAAAGTAACTAGCAGAAACAACTTAAATGTTCCAGTTAACTAATGAGTTTATCAATGTACAGCAAGAAGATTTAAAATAAAAAATAAGAAACTACAATACTTTACAATCCTATTAATGCACACATTCACATCAGTTGATTCATGGTGGTGAACAAAAGGCTCTCTCTCTACGCCATATTAGTTATAAAAATGGTGTCTCTGGAGTTTATGAAATGGTCAAGAAAACACACATAAAATCTTACAAAAGTCAAATCTGTACACTCCTGTTCAAAAGTTCAAGAGAATTTTTAACAGCACTGCTAAATGTTTTTCATTACAAAGAGTCTCTTACCGGATCTAGGTTCTTAAAAAGAAGAATGTCCTTGCATGCCTCTTGCAGCCTGTTTCTTTGATCATCTGTTTTAGGGTGAATAATCTAAGGGATATAACAGAAAAACTTTTAAAGTGGTTATCATATAGCAGCACTAGCTGCTGCACTGAGCTAATTCAGCTAAGCATTTTACACAACATTTTGGCCATGCTTCCCAACACTTTGAAAACCTTCAGGACTTGTATAAACACTCAATGGTAACATTATGTCACCATGGCATTAGCAAATGAAGCACTGCTGTGTTTAAGCTAACAAGATCTTTACATTTGCAGAATCCAGTTTATTTCTGCAAGCCATTCTGGATACCTTTATCTCAACTATTGCTGCATAAACATTACTCTGCTACTCCCTAATCATATTTGGTGCATGCATGCTTTATGCTTATTCAGTCTTTTGCTATGACTACTTCCCAAAGAATATTTCATGAACTGTTAAACTCTGTGTTAAATTTATATCAACAGTTTCACAGAGTAAACAACAAACTTAACACTATCTGAGTGATCCAGAGATTTACTAAATTACTGATGTCTGGTTAATGTGAGTATCAATCAAGTTCATTCAGCTCATATACTTAAAAGAGGTACTGTAGTTTTCAAAGACACAATACTGTAGGATAACATTTTGACAGTTTTAAAAGCCAGAAATTAAGTAGAATAAAAACATTTAAACTTGTCTTTAAAGTCATACTTATTCTATTTCATATTAAAAGCTAAGGAAATGCTTTTAAAAGGGTGACGTAAGACAAAGAAATAAATATAGTTCATTACTTATTGCATTGTACCTCTAACAATCTTAGCAATTTTATAATTTTCCTTTTTATTGTCTCATGAAAAATACTGGAATATTGACAAAACTACTGCAAAATTATGAGGACAACAAATAAGTACTTACAGGAGCAGGTGCTATCTGGGCAAATATAATTGCACAAAAACGTTTCCTTAACAGACCATGTAACAAAGGTGTAGTAATTCAGAATAATACATCAGGTCCTACATCAGTGCCTATTACAGAGACTTTTAAAATGTTCCTTTAACATGAAAACTCAAGAGATTATTGAAGTGTATTATAATAAGTATGCTTTTGGAAAGGAATGGTGATGTTGTTTACACTTTTCTTCCTAAATTTAATGCCCAAGTACTGAAAAAATAAGTATTTGACTCAAAGCTTTAAATACCCTAGATTCTGTGTCGTCCTCTTCCTCATCAGGATTGTAAGTTTCTGCACACACTGAAATAAAAAGAAAATAAAAAAAGGTATAATCTTAATTTAAAGTACAATACAGTTTCATGAGATTTACAGAACAGAAAATCCATTGTGTGGGACAGTAATAATATATAGTAATGTAACACAGTCAACAGAGAATCCCAGAAGATACTGCTGATAGGATCCATAGCAGGTCATCTCCAAAGCATGTGAATCAAAGCTTCACTTGTATCATTTTTGGACATGTTTTCTGTGTTTTAAAAGACCTCTAATATACTTATAAATTTCTCACCTAGCCCATTCTAAGTGATCTTACCTTACTATCAGAATTTTTTTTTTTCTGACATCTAAACTAATTATTTCTTGTTAAAATTTAAGCTACCCATTTTGGATATAGAGATCAGATCATTCCTTTCATCTGTGTTAAGTTCGAGGTGGTTTGAGGCTTTGGAGTTTGAGCTGGATTTTTTTTATTGTTTTGTGTGTTTGTTTGGGTTTTTTTTTGTGGTTTTGGTTTGTTTGGTTAGTGGGGCTTTTTTTGTTTTTGTTTTTTTTTTTCTTCTTCATATTTGAAAACTATTCACTTTTACTTTTTACAGTAAATAATTATGGCTCTTCCATTTTTTCCTTATGAGTCATGTTTTTCAGCTCTCTAACTATCCTCAGTGTCATTCTCCAAACCCCCTCTAATTAGTCCTATCTTTACTGAAATGTGATGCCCAAAACCGGACTGAGTATTTGAGCGGAGCAGAGTACAACAGATTAATTACTCAACAGATTTTGCAGACTATGTGTCTTTTTCATCCATCCACGCCTTTCTGACAACATCTTACGTTTACGCATTTAATATTCATGACCTACATATAACTTTCAAAACCCACTGCTTAACCAGCTGTCCTGTGTCCCATATACAACTATTCTGCCCAAGTGTAGTACCATGCAATTACACCTACTAAATGTTACCTTATTCCCCAAGCCATTTCTCCAGTGAGTCTAGATAATTTTCAATTCTAATCCTGTTCTCCATCATCCTTCCAATCCATTCCCAACTTTGTGACAACTGCAAATTTAATAAGCTTCCTCTCCAATACATAATCGAGTTTATTACTAAAGAAATCAGAATAGCATATAAGGTAGATTGAGGTGTGTATTAAGGTGGAATACACACATGCAAGTGAAACAGCAGTAGCTGCTTGGAGGTTACCTTATCCAACCAGTTTGGTAGCTATATCCCATGCAACTTAAAGACATTGTTTGATGTTCCCTGGTTTGCTTGTAGCAGTCTTGTGAGATAGTGTTCAGAATTTCTTAAAGTGAAAAATGTAAGACATCTGGTCCTTTTATGCACTAGGTTTAATATCTCATTGTAGGGTATCAGATTGTTCCAACAAACCAACGCTCATTGTTGTTCATTGCTTTCCAAGTACTTAGAAAATATTTGAATATTTGACTGTAATTTCTTTAGGAACAAAAATGATCTGTAAATCTGTGATAGGTCCCTTCCAGCTCCATAGTTTCCTCACCCTTTTAAAGATCAGGTTTTCAATTTTCTGGTTTTTTTTTCTTTTTTTTTTTCTTTGTTTGTTGTTGTTGTTGTTGTTTTGGTTTTGTTTGTTTGTTTGTTTGTTTTGTTTTGTTTTTGTTTTTGTTTTTTTTCACACACTCTGATTTTTCTTCTGCAGATTCTCAATGGTAATTGCCAATGGGGCTGAGAGGGATTTAGTCAGTTCTTCCAGTTTCAAAGTCTCCCGTGTCTCAGGCAGAGCTAACCTGGGAGCACCTAGCACATTAAGTACTCTCTGATCTATCCTTTCTCTATTCTAGGCTGAGTTCTCCATATGCTCTTAATAATACTAGTGAAGACTGATGTGCTTCTGCTAAGTAGTAGAGCAACACCTTCCTGGAACATGCTCTCACCAGAAATATACTTCCAGAATAATTTGTGTTACTCCTCATGTTCCTTCTTGTACACAGTCTTGTTCACTTTTTCTGACCTTGGCTTTGATTATTTTTTTTTCTCTACATCTTTTGCTATTCTTTTGCACTTGTTCTGAATAATCCAAACTAGTTTTACTTTTCTCCATGGTTCCTTCCTGTGCTTGATATAAGTGAGGTGCTTATACTTTAGACAGATTTAGTTTACTATATTTTACTTATTTTTTCTCCTGTGTTGTCTCAATTTGCATTTTTTCTCTTTATACTTTTTCTTTGAGGAACAACCAATTCCTTTAACTTCTTTCCTCCAGACTTCATTCCAAACATATTATGCCCACAGCCCTCTCATATTTGCCTGAAACCTGTTATTCTGGTTCTTTTACTCATGCTCTTTTCTTTCCTGAATTTTGCAAGCTCTGTCATCCCAGGATAATTCTCACTCAAGCTGCCTTTTCTCTTCCTACTCTTGAACAGTTTCTCCTTTAGAGCTGGTATCAAATAGAATAGCCTTGATTGGGTTTCCCACTGTCTCAAAATTTGGTTGTAACTGCTCTGCGAAACATGTTGGGCAGCTGGTATTCTCCTTTATTGGTTTCTAACAGATGACTGATTAATTAAAATCTCCCATCATCACCATCCCCTGCCAATATAAATCTTCACCTACATGATTTGTTTGGTGGTCTATGCAATGCCTGCATAATGATGAAGCCCTTTTTTCAGTATTACTCATAAAACATCTGTATGCCCAACTCCCTCTGCAGCTGGGTCACAGCATAAGTGTATGAACCCAATATAAAACAGCAAGAGCCTCTTCCTCTTCTTCCCTGGCCTTCCACCTTGTCTTTGCTATGCTGGTTCAGTCACACTGCTGCTCATGGATTAACACTTCATGTCATAGAATCATTAAGGTTGGTAAAGACCTCTAAGATCATCCAGTCCAACCATCACCCAACACTACCACGACCATTAAACCATGTCCCCAAGTGCCACATCTACACATTTTTTGAACACTTCCAGGGATGGTGACTCCACCACCTCCCTGGGCAGCCTGTTCCAGTGCCTATCCCCTCTTCCAGTAAAGAAACTCTTCCTAACATCCAATCTAAACCTCCCCTGGCACAACTTGAGGACATTTTCTCTCGTCTTGTCTTGTTTGTTCCCCATATTTCCCATATAATTATACAAACAACTTCTAAAGTAGTGACCTGGTAGACCCATTAACCTCCTCACTACCCCAGCCAATTAAAACAATATCAAAAGCTTATCATTGTACATACATACACTGCAGCATCCCAAAGGGAGTCTTGGTCCTCATCATATCAGGCACCCACCAACGCTAAAATATCAACCTTATAAAACTTGCATCTTCAAAAACTTGAAGAAATTTGATAGAAATCCCTCTGGAACTGACTGAAAGATTCCTGCAAAGTTTACTAGGAGCTATATTTGGTCCAAAATAATTACAAATGGCCACAAAAGGAAGTCTGCAATCTGTTGAACAACAGTAATATTTTACCGCAATATAAACAAAATGTTCCTACCGACTATTTTACGGTACTACAGTTATTTCAGTCTTGTCTGAAATAAACTTTAGAGGATTTTATTTAAACAGCAACAATAATCACATGCCAAGTAGGCTTCATGACCCATCATCCTGTAAGTCACTGCTTTGTTTCAACTGGTATCAGTGGCCTAGTGCATGTGTATGTACATGAGTCAACAAATCTGTATTACAGCACAGTGTGCTGCTGGGTGTATGAACAGTCTGTCTCAACCTGAGGTACAGTTACCTCCTGCCCTTACCTCTGATAAAATCTATACACACACATACACACACAAAAAAAAAAGTTATACAAAACAGGAGTTTAATTGCTTTGATCTTGTTATCTGAGAATTGACAAGTCTCAGAGAGCCTGACTGAACATTTAACAGTCTTCCAGACTACACAAAAGGAACTGAATTTAACCTCATCCATGCCCATCCTGAATCATCTTATCAGTCCCTTTCACATAGCCTGAAGCAAGGATCTGTCCAGAAAGAGTATGTTCCTGAGGTCTTCTGTGTCATTTATTGCCTCTTATCTAACTTCACTCTTCTCTGCTAGAAGCTCATTTCAGTCAGTCTCATAAACTATTATCAGCAGGTGCTTTCATTAGAGATTCTTCTGTATGACCTATTATAGACAAGATATTTAAGAACTGCAGCTTCTCCTGGCTAGTGCCCATGTGCACAAATTTTAAAATTATTTATTCTTATCATCTGAGAAATCTAACTCTTCTGGTTACAGCTCTGGACTTATTTTGCCTTGGTTTATCTTTTTGTCACAATCAAGAATGCATCTTTCATTTGGGTCATAACTTAAGAATCATACCAATGCTGTAGCTCTGTGGTTTTAAATATGGAATTTCCTTACCTTCACTGCTTATTTCAGTAGCCTGTCTTGCAGACTTTAGAGTCTAGTAACATATTAATTTCTAATTGCACAGTATTAGACATCTCATGGAAAAACGATACATTTTACTTCTGTTCTTGAAATATGGTCTCTGACACTACTATGGTCCACTGAAATTCATGATATGAACATTGGGGTTTGGCACCTGAGAATCTGAATGACATGCAACACCTAAAACACCTAGACTCAACTAAGTGAAACTATTTTTATTCAGCTTTTCCAACTGAGGGTTCCATTTCACATTTAATACCCCAAGGTGGACACAAAAAAGCCCTAATACATCAATGGGAAGTATTTGTATAAAAAAATGTTAATTGTCAAAAGGCAACGCACTGTTAAAATATACATGCACTGAAAACTGCACACAACTCTAGATGGATTGCTTTGTCAGCAACAAGAGGTACGCTTTTATGATTTCTAACTCATCACTCCAAATAAAGTCAGTTTTCTTTTTTTCTGCTAGTAAATATGTTTTAGATTCCAAACCAGAAATACAGTCGATGCAGACACAAATGAATTCTAAAATGAAAATTAACATACAGTTAGTAATTGTAAGATCACAAAAAATGTTAATCATGTTCTATCTGTTCCCTTGATGTATCTGGAAATAATCTATCAATAATGAAATTAATGAAAATTCATATATAAAAATAAAATAATCTATTATATTCAAAACACGGCAAGATAAACAGCCAATATGCATGTCAATACCCTTTCCCAAGCATAGAATCCCCTGAGTCCTAAAGCATATTACAAAGAATTCTGCAAGCAAAAGAGATGTAGAAATACTTCTTCAGCCATTCAGGGCAAATCAAGACTACAGTTTTGCTAGCATGACTACCAGGGTGGAGCATGAAAACAGACCATCTCTAGCCCTTGTAGCTACACCAGCATGCCATACATTCCTGCAAACATCCCTAACTATGACAGCTATGCCCATCCCTTCTTACAGCAAAAATGTCACTTCCCTGGTTTAGTCATATGAAAATTGCTAAGGTGACTTGACAGCAGTGTGAGATATTTTCCCATTTTTTTCAGGACATACTTATCTTCATCTACTAAACACAGATTTGAAATACTGTGCACAGAGACCCCTTGCACAGCAGGTGGTAGTTCCAAACTAGACAGCAAATACTGGTCCTCTGAAGTTTCTGACAGAAATCCATTTTTTTAACATCTCACTAGTTCCTACTACTTCAGGAGGAATTAGCAAGAGAGCCTTGCACCCTAAAATCCCAATTTCATAAATAGTTTTTGTTTAAACAAAAGCAACTCTCTGTGACAGTAGCAATTAGAAATAACTAGTCATGGTCTCTGATGCTTGCAGCTATTATGTCCTGTATTATTGTTATGTGGGACCTGGTTTTAACTGGATCACATGGAAGATGAGACTGAAGAGCCATAAATAAACATAAGGACTGAAGAACAACCCAAAGAAAGGTGATCAACTTCCTCCTCTATCTGACCACACAATGAGATGAGAGAAAATTTATCTGATTCTATGCATTATATAATTGGGCAATACCAACTGGCTCTGCTGCTGAGATCCATCATTTATACAAAACCCTGGAATTATTTCAAGGGGTTGAGTTTACTTTAAATATAAGCTAATGTGGAACAAAACATGATCACTGGGGCTGTTGCTTCCTGTGATGTCAAAAAAAGGCATCTGTGAAATGCCTACACCTGATAGGGTCACTAAACTGAAACTTTATCTAGACATAATTAGACAAATTAATACACGGAATGCCCGATACATTGCAATTCCATGTTATTACTATTTTAGACATAGAGCACTTAAATTACAAATGCTATCCAAGTGGCAATAAAAGTGTGTATGCTCAAAAAAAAAGTATGGCAGTCACAGAAACATGAATATTCTTGACATTTCCTCACATGCAACAAATTAAAAATTAAAGAAATCCCCCTCCGATCTACCAGATTTATGGGATAATGACTTTTGAGTGGTGCATTACCTAACACAAATTACTAAGTGCTCATGACACCAACCTAAAAATCCCAAACCGGATAAAATCCAGGCAGCTTGTTTCCTCTTAATTATCACAAAGGTGGACTTCAGTTCATTAGGTGGAGACTGACTGAATCAGAGTCTTGGGAGCACTGCCAAGACAGTTTGTTTCAAGATCAGCTGCTCATGAAGGACAGTTACATCCTCTTGCTTTAGGCATACAGACTGAAATTCTCCAAAGCTTGCCTGACAGTCATGAACACACACCAAATACTGGGTTTGTGCTCAGCTATGCAGCTCAACTGCAAAACCTTTTGCCAGAAGTGGAAGACCTTGTTCAGCTTGCACTACATGCATTCAAAAAATAGACTGACACAATCAACTTTTCTACAGCATTTGCTCTTGTCCATCTGCTACCAACGCTATTTCTAATTAGTCAAGCTTCAAGATATTTCCTCCCGCATTTCTGAATAACATGAAGTGCTCTAATGTAACATGTACCATCCCAGTTGAGGTCCATGCCAACAGTGAGTCACAGAACCTCCCAAAGATTCTCCGTTCAAAAGTCCACATGGGGTTTATTCATATTTCACCAACCCAAACAGGTGTTTCAACAAGACTGTACTGAATGCTGTGAAAGCCCATTTAAAGAAACACAATGACCCACACAAGACGTTTTTGTTTAATTTTATCCCAGTTGAGTATTCATGCGTAGGCACATTTGCACAAGTTCCTTAGCATTATTTGGTACAAAACTGAAAACTGTGACATGTTAGATCACAGTACCCTCCTGTCACAGGGTCAAAGATTCATGTTCTTCCCTGAAATCACAGGCATTTGAATCACTAAATAAACTCCTCCACAGAAATAGTATGTTTGAACTTTGCCACAAGTAGCTGAAAAGGCTTCTCTATTTTTAAATAGGGAATAAGAAAGGGGCTTTAACAGATTTTCCCTGAGGGCCTACATAGTACTTAGTCCTCCTTCGATTCCTATTTCAGTTCTTTTCATAATTGTGTAATTTGTTACAATGGAGCTAAAAAAACAATTCTGGACGATGGTAGGAGACAGTCTTGCTCAGCTTTGTAGGAAGTGCTTAACTTCATCTCTCTGGCTAGGGCAAACCAGCACAAAAGCACATTACAGTGTCCAGAACACTGCAGCTAGTTACTAAACAAAAATCATCACAAAAGGTGCACTTCCAGGAGAAGAGTTTGCAAGTATATACCACGTACTATACTACTTAACTCCTTAAGCTTTCCCAATATGGAGTAGCATAACACACAGCAACACACTGTACTCTGATGCTGACATACATATAAAATTCTGTTCCTTATTGTCCCATTAGAAAATTCATCCCTCACACAGAAAATGAGCAAATATAAATTGCAGCTATTAAGGAAAAATATTCTGAATACAACCTAAACTTTTTTGCCTATTTTTTATTTGCTTTATACAATCAGATTTAACATTATATCAAGCTATTTTTCAAGATTCTAAATACATGTCCCACACTAAACAGTTTTTAAACCTGATTTGCTACAAACATTTCAGAAACTGAAGTTACAACTGTTCATCTCCAGAGCCTATATCCTGAAATGTACATATTTGCATTTCATAGAATAGAATCATAGTAGTACATTTTAAGGAAACTATATACATTGCAGTAGACCACAATAGCAGCTTTTTTTTTTTTTTACCCAAAATGAATTATCTGTCCCATCTGACAGTGTTTGAAATTTGTACTGTACACCATGTCAGACTTCAAATAATAGAGTCCAAAACTATAAAGTAGTAATTGATTTTTACTAAACTATGTAAACTTCAACAGGTAACTACTTAGATGAGTTATAATACATCTGAAGACACATTAAAGTGTTCAATAGCATACTTAGCCACTTTTTGAAAAACTAACTTAGCCAAATTTTTCAGACTTGATGGTAAAATTATATGTATATTAAATACCTTAAAGAGGAAACAGAAATAGACATTCAAATTAATTTATTACCCATTAATCTCTCTTTAACCTCTCCTTTTGTTTGTGCAGTCATGTTTTGCCCTCAATCTTGCAAAATGAAAAGAAGGCATTAGTTTTGGTCATTAAATGAAATATGTGTATTTGAGAATTAATAATTAAAAAGAATTATTTTTAATGATGGGTTAAATATGAAAGATGTTTGCAGAAAGACATCACTCAATTTACAGACCTAGCAGCCTAAAACATGAAACTATTAATACTACAGAGCCAAAAAAAAAAAAAAAAAAAACAGAAAATGAGAGAAAAGTACCAGTAGAGAGAAATGCCAGGAAAGGAAGTACTAAGATTTTGAAGTTCTGAGAAGACATTGAGGGTGAGATGTAACCACCAGTCAGACATAAGACAGGGTGGGTAGAAAGAACTTGGAATTGTTTGAAAAAAAAAAAAAAAATCATAGAAGTAAGTGTATTTAGTTTGCACTGCAACATTTTGGCAGTGGGCGTCTGCAGGGGTGGCTTCTCTAAGAAGCTGCTAGAAGCTTGCCTCATGTCCAATAGAGCCAACACCTGCTGGATCCAAGACGGATCAGCCACTGGCGAGTTGCTATCCCCAAGGGGTTACCATCACATGTTTAAGAAAAGGGGGAAAAAGAGCTGTGGGACAGCAGCCAGAAGAGAGAGAAGAGAATGTGTGAGTGAAAACAACTCTGTAGACACCAAGGTCAGTGAAGGAGGAGGAGGAGGAGAAGAAGGTGATTCAGGTGCATAAGCAGAGCTTCCACTGCAGCCCATGGAGGTTAGCCATAGAGCAGATGTCCACATGCAGCCTGTGGAGGAGTCCATCCCAGAGCAGATGGACGTGTCTGAAGTGACCCCATGGGCAGCCTGTGCTGGAACAAGCACCCATCAAGTCCTGTGGACCTCCTGACAGAGGAGCCCATACTGGAGTAGGTTCGCTGGCAGGACTTGTGACCCTCTGTGGGACCCATGCTGGATCAGTTCATGAAGAACTGCAGCCCAGGGGAAAGTCTGATGTTGGAAAAGTCTCTGGAGAACTCTCACCTGTGGGAGGGACACTGCACTGGAGCAGGGAAAGTGTGAGGATGAAGAAGCAGCAGCAGAGACAACATGCAATGAACTGACTGCAACCCCCATTCCCTATCCCCTTGTGCTGCTGGTGAGGAAGAGGTAGAGAAAATCTGGAGTAAAGCTGAGCCCAGGAAGAGGGTGGGGACAAGGTGTTTTAAGATTTGTTTTAATTTCTCATTACTCCTGAGGAGAAAGACTTGGGGATGCTCGATGACGAAAAGCTCAACATGAGCCAACAATGTGCAAGGGCAGCCCAGAAAGCCAACTGTACCTTGAGCTGCATTAGAAGAAGCATGGCCAGCAGGACAAAGGACATGATTCTGCCCCTCTACTCCACTCTCATAAGACTCTACCTGCAGTACTGTGTCTAGCTCTCGAGTCCTCAACCCAAGAAGGACATGGTCCTGTTGGCGAGGGTCCAGAGGAGAGCCACAAAGATGATCAGAAGGCTGGAACATTTCTCCTACGAGGACAAGCTGAAAGAGTTGGGGTTGTTCAGCCTGGAGAAGACAAGGCTCCAGGAAGACCTTATTGCAACCTTCCAATATCTGAAAGGGGCCTACAAGAAAGTTGGTGAGGAACTTTTTAGGAGGGCTTGTAGTGATAGGACAAGGGGAAATGGGTTTAAACTGGAAGAGGGTAGATTTAGATTAGAAATTAGGAAGAACTTCACTATGAGAGTGGAACAGGTTGCCCAGGGAAGTTGTGGATGGTCCATCACTGGGTGTGGTCAAGACCAGGTTGGATGAGGCTTAAGTGGGAGGTGCTCCTGCCCATGGCAGGAGGTTTGGAACTAGATGCTCTTTAAGGTTCCTTCCAACACAAACCATTCTATGATTCTATGATACTCTATTCTGATTTGTTTGGTAATAAATTCATTTCCCCAGATTGAGTCTGTTTTGCCTCTTGTCGTATTTGCTGAGTGATCTCCCTGTCCTTATCTCAACCCACAAGCCTTTCATTATATTGTCTGTCCTGTCCAGATGAGGAGAGAGGAGTGACAGAGCAGCTTGGTGTGCACCTGATCGTGTCCAGCCAAAGTCAACCCACCACAACAGGGCAAGTAAGAACATAAACGTGGAAGAGGTTGAAGACACTCTTTGCGAAGGCACTCCAGCTAACATACTGGAGTAGGGGAGTGCCTATGCTGTGTAAAGGAGCACTTGGAAAAGCAGGTGTAGAACCCAGAAAGCCTAAGAAACAGATTTCAGGAGGGGAAAATGAACAGCAGAACTCAGGTCTGCCAGCAGGTCACCAAGTAAAACAACCAAGCACCACCATGATTTAACAGGACTGGGGCAAGGAGAAGGGAAAGGAGAGGGACTAGTGTTACTGATCTGCAAAGAGGTACAAAGGCTAATGAAATCAAAAGGAGGTAGTTATTCTTTGAAACCACATATTTATGGCTATTTTGTATGCTCATGTTTTAAAGACAAGACCTTGACAGCTGAAGGAAGGACGTCATAAGTGGAAGAAAATGGTCAGAAGTAAGACATGGAAAATAATCACTGATGACAGGACATGTAAAGACACAAAAGGATTCCAGAAAACTGAAAAAATGTAGGTTAAGAGCAGACAAGAGAAGGTGACATCCAAGTCAAAGACTCATGCAAATAGTGACTCTAAGAAGGTTAAGTACAAAGCCTAAACTATTAGATCTGACAAGCCTGTCCCTTGTCTTGCCCCTGTGTCTTGCCAGCAGAATGAACTGACTTGATCCAGACAAGGTGAAAGATCTGCCATTAGCAGTACAATCAATCATCCAGCAAAACGAGGAAGGTACAGATAATACTATATCTACAGTTCTCCTAGGGACCCTTTGGAATGACATCAAATTAAGTCATAATTATAAGAGTTCCTCAGAAGCATGCATCAGAAACTGTGTTCCTACATATAGGGTAGACTTTGTTTGGGCAGCTACAGGAGTGCAAAATTCCATCTCAACAGGTTTCACAGAAAACACTGCATCCATATGGAATTCAGAATAGCAAACTGAGGATGGGCACCTAAAAAAAAGGCAGTCATCTTTTTAAAGGAATAGTTGCCATAGCAAATTTACCTTTGCTTTTCACAGCTATGGGATCAAGGGAAAGAAGCCTGAATCCATCTTTCCCCGTTTTCCCAATGTGTCTTATATTCTGCATTGCGGAACAGTCTGTAATGAGATGTTCTTCATGCCTCCTGAGTTCAGACTCTTAGGCAAAATGAAATGGAGTAATAAGCTAAAGAAACTTTTCTCCTGGAATTTTAGCATGCTGATTTCAGGTATGTTGTCCTTGGTCAAATGACTAAGTCACGCTCACATAATTCTCTGTATAAGAAATTCACTGAACAGATTCA